TCGGCCAACTCGGCTGGCGCTCCCGGCACCGACTGCACCGACTGTGGCGGGCCAGAGAACGCTTACACTCGTCTCAGCAACCCGCTTCCGCCCGCCGTCCCGTCCCCACCGGCGCCCCCACCGTTGCCACTGTCGCCACCGCCGCCACCAGCGCCACCGCCAGTTCCATACCCACCAAAGCCGCCGCCGTTGCCGCCCCTCCTTCCGCTCTCTCCGGGCGAGGTCTTTGTGAGTGGCAACGCCGCCTTACAGCTGGCCGTCGAGGGAGGCATGACGGACATCTACCTGCAGCCCGGCGCGAACGTCAGGCTCAGCCAGTCTCTCGTCCTTGACGGAATAAACGTCACCATCCGCAGCTCAGGCAGCATCACTGGCGCCACCATCGACGGCACCGACGCGCTGGACAGCCTCTTTATCCTGAGAAACGAGGCAACGCTCCAATTGGAAGGGCTCGTCTTGGCGAATTGCCGGGCGGAAGCTGATGGCGGTGCGGTCCGTATGGAAAATTCTGACGCGAGCTTGCGTGACGTTCGCATACAGGACTGCTACGCTGGGAATTCCGGAGGAGCCATTTACGCCGCCAAGGGCAGCTTGCGACTGGAGTCGGTGGAGATAACGCGCTGCAGCACTGGGATTGGTACAGAAGGCGAGAACGCCAAGGGCTTGGGCGGGGCCATCAGGATTGTCAAGGTTCCCGAGGTGGAGCTGAGCGAGGTCAACATTACCGGCTGCAGCGCAGTCAAGGGTGGGGCTCTGCACATTGACGGTGGGACGGACAGCGAGACCACGCTGAACCGGGTCCGTCTCGCAGACAGCACTGCCACCGAGGAAGGCGGCCTGATTTACATTTCGACCGGCCGTCTGGCGCTGGAGAACGGGACCCTTCTGGAGAGCGGAACGGCAAGCCAAGGGAGCTCGATCGCATTCGGCGGCTCGCCCGAGGTGTCCTACCGCCTGCCTTTGCCTCCCGGGTATTGGATCCCGCACTCGAGATGCGAGATCTACCGGCAGCTTCCTGCCGACTGTGACGCCGTCTGCCGGGCTTTATTCGACAAGTGCAAGACCGAGACGGACGCGCAGAACAACGAGTGCAAACAGTTCCCCGTCGCCTTTGTTCAGCCCTGCAACTGGGAGGCGACGCCCGCGCTGCTCGGCGTATCTCTGTACCAGGTGCCGACCTCTGCCCTCGATGTCGACCTGCCATACGCCTGCGCCCCCGGCATTCTAGGCTCGAGCGATGCCGAGGACCAGAGGTCAGGCGTCTGCGCCGGCCTCTGCCCCGCAGGCCAGCGGTGCCCCGAGACAGCCACGACGGAGCCTCGCCCGTGCACCGAGGGCAACTTCTGCCCGGAGGGGACGAGCGTGCCTCGGCCGTGCCCCGAGGGCTCGTACTCGGCCGCGACGAACCTGACGAAGGAGGACGAGTGCACGCAGTGCCCGGTCGGCTTCACTTGCCCGGCGGGCAGCACCGTCCCCGACCCTTGCAACGACGGCACGACGACGTACGGCCAAGGGTCCACGGCGTGCGACGTGTGCGACGAGGACTTCTTCCTCGTCCTAGGGGAGGCCCAGGCCTCCACCAAGGCGTGCAAGTCGTGCCCGGCTGTCGTGCCCTACACCTGCGGAGTCGACACACGCATCGGCGCACTCTACGTGCCGGGCAGAGGTTGCCTGGAGCCTTCCCTGAAGCCTCTCGGAACCTTCCCTGTAGGCTCGCTCAACGTGTCGAGCGGCTGGTGGCGCGCCTCGAACGAGTCGTCAACGCTGTTTGCGTGCAAGGTTCCTTCCATCGCCGCCTCCACCCCTTCTACCCCTCCGCCCTCGCTGCCGCCCTCGCTGCCGCCCTCGACTCTCCTCCCTCGCTGCCGCCCTCGCTGCCGCCCTCGACTCTCCTCCCTCGCTGCCGCCCTCGCTGCCGCCCTCGACTCTCCTCCCTCGCTGCCGCAGGTGATGGGCGACGAGTGGAGCCCGTGCCGCGGCGGCGTCGACTCGTCGGAGGATGGCAACGCGCTCTGCCACCCCTTCTACGAGGGCCCAAAGTGCGAGGTCTGCACCAACACGACCGACAACGGCATCCGCTACTTCCTCAACTCGAAGGCGCGCTGCCAGCCGTGCGACCGGCCGGCGGAGTCGGTGATGCTGCTCGTCGGTCTGCTCTGTGCGGCGGGCGCTCTCGGCCTCGGCACTCTCAAGGTGATCCGCAGCTCGTGGGCCCCTTCGGGCAAGGTGGCGCGTGCGCTCGTTCTTCTCGGGCGGCGCATAGCGCTGCTGTGGAAGCGGGCGGGGATGCTATGCAAGACAAAGCAGCTGATCAACCTCTTTCAAGTAGTCGCAGTCGTGCCGGCCGTGTACGAGCTTGATGAGGTGCCGCCGCAGCTGAGCGAGTGGGCCATGAACCTCTTCAACGCCGTCAATATCTTCGACCTCGATCTTTTCCTACCGCCCGCGTGCTATGGCTCCTACCTCAAACGCCTGATTGCCTGGGGTTTTCTGCCCTTTGCGCCCATCCTCCTCGCGACCCTCGGCAGCTGCGCCTGGGAGCTCGTTGCTCAGGCTCGCCACAGCGCAGCTGCGAGCAGTGCAAATTCGACCCGTGCTGCGCTTTGGCGCGGCTTTTTGCGTGTGCTGCCGCTCATCTTGATTCTACAATTCTTGCTAGTCACCTCCACCAGCACGCACATCCTCCGCACCTTCAACTGCATCGAGTTTCCGACACGGGACGCGGTCCTCCCGGGGATGCAGGAGCCGTACCGCGCCTACCTCGCCGACGACCTCTCCCTCGACTGCAGCACGCCAGAGTACGCCACGGCGCAGCGGTGGGCGTACGTGCTGCTCTTCGTGTGGCCCATCGGCGCGCCTCTGTTGTACCTCGGCTTGCTACTCGCCTCACGGCGCGACATCATGACGCGCCAGTCGACACCTCTCTTGCGTGCGACCGACTTTCTCTGGAGGGACTACGAGGA